ACTTTGGCCTTTTCAAGCAATTGCTAGGGGAAATCCCATGGGCAAGGCTGCTTGAAGGTAAAGAGCCCCAAGATAGTTGGTTGGCATTCAAGGATTGCTTTTTCCGAGCTCAAGATCAGAGCACCTTGACTCGTAGGAAGTCAAGGAAGAGGGTCAGGAGACCTGCGTGGATAAATAGGGAATTGCTGGGTATGCTCAAGTGGAAGAGGAGAGTTTACAGGTCATGGAAGGAGGGGCTGGCCACTTGGGAGGAATATAAGGCTGCTGCTAGAGGATGGAGGAAGGCAGCTAGGATGACTAAGGCCTCCTCAGAATTAAATCTGGCGAGAGGGGTCAAGGACAGCAGAAATAGCTTTTTCAAATACATGGCAGATAAAACTAACACCAGAGGCAATGTAGGCCCACTGATGAACGGGATGGGTGCCCTGGTGACAGAAGATACAGAGATGGCAGAGTTACTGAATGCCTTCTTTGTCTCTGTCTACTCTGCTGGAGGCAGTCCTGAAGAGTCCTTTACCCCTGAGACCTCAGATGAAGTCAGGTCAATGGAGCGGTTTGCCTTAGTTGATGAGGAATGGGTTAGAGACCAGCTGAGCAATCTGGACATCCATAAATCCATGGGTCCAGATGGGATGCACCCGTGGGTGCTGAGGGAACTGGCGGAAGTCATTGCTAGACCACTCTCTATCATCTTTACCAAGTCTTGGGAAACGGGAGAGGTGCCTGAGGACTGGAGGAAAGCAAATGTCACTCCAGTCTTCAAAAGGCAAGGAGGACCCGGGTAACTATAGACCAGTCAGCCTCACCTCCATCCCTGGGAAGGTGATGGAACACCTTATCCTTGGGCATATCTTAAGGCATATCAAGGATAAGAGGGTTATGAGGGGCAGTCAACATGGCTTCACCAAGGGGAAGTCATGCTTGACCAATTTCATAGCATTTTATGAGGAAATAACACGGTGGATGGATGATGGCAGAGCGATGGATGTGGTCTACCTTGACTTCAGCAAAGCATTTGACACAGTCTCCCACAGCATCCTCACAGCTAAATTGAGAAAGTGTGGTCTGGATGATCAGGTAGTGAGGTTGGACTGTGAACTGGCTGAAAGAGAGAAGCCAGAGAGTTGTAGTCTATGGGGCAGAGTCTAGTTGGAGGCCTGTATCTAGTGGAGTGCCTCAAGGGTCAGTAATGGGACCAGTATTATTTAATATATTCATCAACTATTTAGATGAGGGAATTGAGTGTCATCAGCAAACTTGCTGATAGTACACTAAGCTGGAAGGAGTGGCTGACACGCCAGAAGGCTGTGCTGCCATCCAGCGAGACCTGGACAGGCTGGAGAGTTGGGCAGGGAATAACGGGATGAAATATAACAAGGGAAAGTGTAGAGTCCTGCATCTGGGCAGGAACAACCCCAGGTTCCGGTATAGGTTGGGGAACGACCTGCTAGAGAGCAGTGTAGGGGAGAGGGACCTGGGGGTCCTAGTGGACGACAGGATGACCATGAGCCAACACTGTGCCCTTGTGGCCAAGGCAGCCAATGGCATCCTGGGGTGTATTAGAAGGGGGGTGGTTAGTAGGTCTAGAGAAGTCTTCCTTCCCCTCTACTCTGCCCTGGTGAGACCCCATCTGGAATATTGTGTCCAGTTCTGGGCCCCTCAGTTCACAGAGGACAGGGACCTGCTGGAGAGAGTCCAGCACAGGGCAACCAAGATGATTAAGGGAGTGGAGCATCTCCCTTATGAGGAAAGACTGAGGGAGCTGGGTCTCTATACTTTGGAGGAGACTGAGGGGTGACCTTATTAGTGTATATAAATATATAAAGGGGGAGTGTCACGAGGATGGAGCCAGGCTCTACTCAGTGGCAAATAATGATAGGACAAGGGGTAATGGGTACAAACTGGAACACAAGAGGTTCCACTTAAACTTGAGAAGAAACTTCTTCTCAGTGAGGGTGACGGAACACTGGAACAGGCTGCCCAGGGAGGTTGTGGAGTCTCCTTCTCTGGAGACATTCAAAACCCGCCTGGACACATTCCTGTGTAACGTTATCTAGGCGTTCCTGCTCTGGCAGGGGGATTGGACTAGATGATCTTTTGAGGTCTCTTCCAATCTCTAGCATACTGTGATACTGTGATAGGCTGTCTTCCTGAAGAGTTCTACCAAATACATTCTGTTCTGCCACTTACTAAGGCTGTCCCTCATAATTCCAAATTCATTACAAGTCTTACTCCAAATAAAGCCATTACAAAAAGCTTGTGGTTATTTTGCTGCTGTTGTTGTCTCCCACCTTGTTCTTTCCCTTCCTCCTGTCTAGCCGGACGTGTATCCAGGAAACTGCTGGGCTTTTAAAGGATCACAGGGGCATCTTGTCATCAGACTTTCAGTGAAGATCTATCCAACTGCCTTTACACTGGAACACATACCAAAGACCCTTTCACCAACAGGAACTATCACCAGTGCTCCTAGGAAATTTTTAGTATATGTAAGTGTGCCTCTGAGCTTCAGGTGATGTTTGTGTGCATAAAGAATATCTGTGTTGCTTATCTTGGAAAGTAATGACTTGAGGGAGGGCAGCTAAGGAGATAAACTGTTCCAGTCACTGCTCTTCAAATGGCTTCTAATCTTTAATGAGCCTGAAATCAGATATAGAAAATGTTACAACTGATTTTATTTTTTCTCTTACCTTCTCCAGTAGTAAACGCTTTTGGAGGGAGATGATGGGTTTTAAAGTCTTTAATACATCAGAGAATGTAGTTCTTTCATACAGTTGGATTGTTCTATCCTTCCCCCTCTCCCCTGCAGTTCTGGCTTTTCACCTTATCCATGATGTAAAGAATCCATGATTTTTTAAAATGGATTTTAACTAGCACCACAGTTGCATAGGCATGATTTTAGAGTGAACACCACAGGCTACATCAGAGGATAGTTGTGATAGCTGAGAACTTTTTGTCTAGCTCCTTCAAATGCTTAAACAGCATATGCAAGCATCTGAATCTTTACTTCAGTCCTGTTTGTAAACTTAATGCATCTTTTCTCATTCTGGTTTGTCCTGAGCACTTTCTGTTATACACTGTGATAGTGGGTTTGTCATGGAAATGAAGAGGTTTGACAGTGAAAACATAGAAACATAGCACAGGTATTTGCAGTGCAGGGAATTTAAATGCAGAGCCATGCCTGAACAGGCATTGAGCTACACGGGAAACATTCTGATCCTGGTTTGATCGATTTCTGAGTGCTGTCTGTTGAAACTCAATTATGTAGACATGCTTCTGGTTTTGGTTAGATAGCAAATTTGATGGAAGCAAAAATCTTGTTGTTACAGGGTCTAGAAGATGAATATCAAGAAAGTGGCACGCTTCTAGGGCATTATGAGTATGATCAAGAAGGGGAACCACTGCAGATGTTTCCAGTGATGGTAAGTCTGGATGACAGGATTTAAAGCTTTGGGAGAAAAAGGCTTCTGTTTGCTATGGTAGTGCACAGTGAGTAGTGAAGGAAGGTGGCCTTGTGCTCTGTTGGGCACTGTAGAAACTGAGGCAGGAAGAAGAAGAAAAGCTTTCTTCTCACGTATGTGAGAGAAGAAGAAAGCTTTGTGCTGTCCGGACACAAATGGTGTGAAGATGCTGAGCACAGGAAGTGTCGGCTTCATGCTTGTCCTGACTCCCTTCACAAATAACTGGTTGTAAGGCAGGGAAGGTCCTCTCCGAAGTGGCAGGAAGTTCCCCAGGCATGACCTGGTTAGTAACGACAGTGGGTAGTTGGCAGCAATCTTAAGAAAGCAACTTGAGGAGTTGCAGTTGTCACCTGCTTGTACCTAACTCTTGGTTTGTGCATTTGCTGTTTCCTTTCCCAGGAGAACGGTCAAAATGCATTCCAAATAGTGGAACTGAGAGTTCTTTCCAACTGGGGAAATGAAGAGTATACGTGCCTTTACAGATTCCGAGTGCACGGGAATATCGCCCAGTGATCTACACTACAGCTGGGGTTGGGGTTCTTGTATGTTTTGTTCTCTATTTTGTTTTTTTTTTTTCACTTGAGCTAGAACCAGAACTCATAAGTTACCATTAAACCCAGGTGTTTTCATGTTATAGGTTATATAAGATTTGAATTCCCCTGTTTAAGTAGAAATTAGGTAGCTGATGTAGGAATATTTTGGATAACACTAACTTATTTTTCAAAGAAAAAAAAAGTAAGATAGGATTTTGTGCAATGTATTTTTGTAAATGCTTTTCAACATGTCCGTTGTTCTTTGCTGCTTCTAAACTGTGACAAGATGCTATCAAAATGTTTAAATAAAGAGTTTTAATTTTTGAAAGTGCATGTACTCTTTGGACAAGAAATAAAGCTGTTTTGCTGTAGTTTTGGTCACTGGATGAACCGAGGCCATGAGGGGTTGTAACACTGAAGGAATGCCCCTGGCTCGTTTCCCATACAGTGCGGCCTCTTCCTTCTGATGCCCCTGTACCGGCTGGAGCGTGTTGGGGCGAGGAGCGGGATGTCCCCACGGCCTCCCACCCCCTGCTTACCCTGCAGCGTTTCCTTCGGTGTCCCTGGCGCTGCCTGGCCCGCCCTGACCTGAGCGAAGCGAAGCCCGGGCCGGCCGTTGCCGGACGCTTTGCAGGTGCGGGCGGTTTCCACCCGCTGGGGTTGCTCCGTTGTTGTGTCGGCAAGGCGGCGGCAGGACCCGCGGCGGCGCTCCAGCCCCGAGAGGGGAGCCCGTTAACGGCGCGCACCAGATGTACCGGACGCTCCTGTTCCGGTACGGCCCGGCCCGGGCCCTGCCCCTGCCCCTGCCCCGCGCGGCCTTGCGGAGCCTGCCCACGCACTCGGCCCCGCTGCTGCCCGCCATTGGCCGGCGCTCCTGCCCATCTGCGTGTGCTGCTCTCTCATTGGGTCGTGGGGCCGGGCTGGGGCGGGTATTGCCGTGAGGGGTCGGGTGAGCGTGGAGGGGTTTGAGGTTTGGGGATAGGAGCGGTGCTCCCGTCAGTGCGAACGCGATGGGCTGCATAGCTAGGAAGAGGGTTTCCTTGTAGGCAAAAAGATGTAATGAGGCAGTGAAACTTGTCTGGAAAGGCACTGAGGCCAGGGAGTAGTCCTGGACAGTCTTGTCTGTCCTCCATCAAATGTGTGTTCAGTGTCAGCAGTTTCCCCGAGACACGTAAACATGGTGGAGGTGATCTCATCTGTGGAATTGTAGCTGGGACAGGCAGTGCTTGCTCGCTTTAAACAACGCCGGCCTGTAAAACATTGCTCTGTTCTCTCGTGAGCTGTGCGTTAAGCCTGAAATCCTGACTCAGAGCTTCGAAAGTCGTGAATGCAGAGGTACTTGAGGGTGGAGGAGGGCAAGAAGTGCACGAGGAAAGATTACCATAAGCCTGTCTCCTGTAGATCTTTTCTCCCCGCCTGCGATCCACGGAGTGGGTGGGAAACTGCGCTTCCTGCCTGACCAGCACCAGTGAGCGAGTCTCCCTCCTGGACTGGTGCAGTCACTGTACAGGCTGCCGGGTTGAACTGTTCTCCAGGGCTGGATGCAGGATTGAAGGTGGGGGTCTCACGAGAGCAGAGTAGAGGGAGAGAATGGTTTCCCTCTACCTGATGCTCCCGCTGCTGGGGATGCAGTCCAGCACTAGGGAGATTTCTGGGCTGCAAGTGCACACTGCCGGCTTGTGCTGGAGCAAGAGAAGGAATGCATTCAGGGGCTTTGCTGTTCTGCAGCCATAACCAGGTAAGTCATAACTGGTTTTGTGTGTGTGGTTTGGGGCAGGCTGGAGTGTTATTCCAAGATTGTGAGGGGTGAATGGTGAATTCTCAGTGGTAGATGTTTGGGGTGATTGCTTTGTGATCTTTTAGTTTATCTTTGGTTCAGTCTTTCTGCACAAAGAAGGATTATGCCAAACTGGAACATAAAGCAGAAGTGTTTGTCAGCATCCAAACATTAATCGTAACCACATTTGGTTTCCTTTCTTGGAGGCTCAGCTTTTGGCTGTGGAGTCAGGTCAGTATTGCTGGCTGATAGATGCAGGATTGACTGGATGTATGAGAAGTGGCTCAAGTTCAAAGTCGCTCTTTTTTTAAGGAGGCTTTTGGAGGCTCTTAAGGGAGCTTAAAGACACAGTAGCACTGGGACGTAAATGTCGCATCTTAAAGATGCATTAGAAGCAGCAGCTCATCCTGTTTCTATTAAGTATTTGTGAATCTTATTGCTTCCAGAAAACTTGGCTAATTTGTTCAGCTTAATGGATTCAAATTATCCCAAAAGAGTGGTTTTCATATCCAGAGCGCTAAAATGGTCTAGCCGGGGATCAGGAGAACTTGGACACCCAAAACTACAGCAGTTAATAGCAATTACCTTGTGGAAAGGTAAGAAAAGTCAACCTGGCTGTTCTGTGTTTTGTTTTGAAAATACTGAAAGTGTGATATTGTAAAAGATCTGCTTTGGAAATAATCTAAGGAAGCTGAGATGGGAATGACTGATTGAGTTCTGCTGTTACCTGATTTTAGCAGTCACATCAGCATAATGTCAGAGGCATTCGATCGGCTGCTGCGTTGCCAGTTAAAAACTTGGTTTATTGATGGAATTTGGTGTTGAAGCAGTCAAGGTCAGCTCCAGGGGAAGCTAAACAGAGGTTTCCCTAGCTGGTGATTTCAAAATCTTTCTGTTGGGATTAATCAGTTGAAACAGGTCAGCCTTAACCATAGTTTTCAATTTCTGTAGGTATCTATCCCACAAACCTATTTTGCTGCTGTTTAAAGCAAGTGTTGTCTGATGGTACCAACATCCCTCATCTTGACATTCGCTGCATTCCCACTTTTATTACCGGGGAATCATTGGTTGCTTTCTAGTCCCTGTTTCTTATGTTCTCAAATGAGCTCTTACTTGTTAAAGTGTGGCAGCACTTGTTACGTATTCTCCCTAAAGCTGTAATACCTTTCAAAGGCTCCAGGGAAAGTTTTACCAGTGTTGGTTGGGTGGTTTTAGAATTGGATGGCACTCTGGAAAACTGTAACCATGGGAGTCACTTTGCAGTTGGCTCTTCTGCTGGGGTGTGTATTCAGCGTGGGGTTTGTGACAGAAATAACCCATAGAAAACATTACAGGCTGATGTGAAATGAAGGGGAGTCCCTTGCTGCTTAGTGGATGGTGTTCAAAGGTAGTAGAGTAAAATGATTTGACTATATAAAACCTTTCTCAGATTTCTTCTGTGTTAGGCTTTGGTGCACAGCACAGCCCATGCTTTGCTTTCAAAGCAAAAGTCATTGCAAAGAGATCTCTGAAAGCCTGGCTACATGGGGCTTTTAGTTTTCAAGCTTAGTTCTTTTGGGTGCTGCATGACTCAGTTCCTATGGAAGCACTGTAGGACAGTTGTGATGAGAGCTTGGCTCATATTACAGTAATGTTCCCGAGAACTCGGAAATTGCAGAAAACAACATCATCAAGAAAGTTGTGCTCAGAAATACACTGAGCTTCCTGCAGTACTGAGAAGGGATCTCCAGCCCCAGCAGCCATACAGCTGAAATGCTGAGCACTCCGTATTTCTGGTAACAGTAGCTGCTTTACTTCAGTACTTCCAAACACAGGCTGAACAGTGCAAGGGCTCTTACACTGGATTCATGTAATTTTATGTCATTGCATTACTCTATTTTCACCTTTTACGGTATGATTGAAACACTCAGCATGGACTTTTCACATCTACACACGTATACTCCTCCCCAGTGTCTGCCAGAGAACACTGGCTATACATATGCACTCAGGTGAGAATTCTTCTTGTAGAGGAGCTGCATGTTCATGAACTGAAATGGGGAGCAGTACAGAAAATGCTTTATCAAGGGTATTCTTGCAGCATTGCTTGTTGCCTGCTGTGAATGTGTTTTCAATTGCTTGTACCAGGCACCTAACTCTTGGTTTGTTCATTTGCTCTTTCCTTTCCCAGGAGAACGGTCAAAATGCATTCCAAATAGTGGAACTGAGAGTTCTTTCCAGCTGGGGAAATGAAGAGTATATGTGCCTTTACAGATTCCGAGAGCACGGGAATGTTGCCCAGTAATCTCCTGCACTACATCTGTTTTCATATATAAGGCTACACAGTGAAGATCAAAATTCTCTTGTTTATTAGCAATTAGGTAGCAAGCAGAGGAATATTTAGAATAAAACATAAAAACCCCAGATTTTGTGCAATGTATTTTTTAAATGCTTTTCAATGTGGCTGTTCTTTGATGCTTCTAAACTGTGACAAGATGCTGTCAAGATGTTTAAATAGTTTTAATTTTTGGAAGTTCATGTACTCTTTGGACAAGAAATAAAGCTAATTTGCTGTACTTTTGGTCACTGGATGCCGAGGTCATGAGGTGTTTTATACCTCTGTGCCTGGCAAAATCTTGGAGCAGATTCTCCTGGGAGGCATGCTAAGGCACATGAAAAACAACAAGGTGCTTGGTGACAGCCAGCATGGCTTCACTAAGGGGAAATCCTGCCTGTCCAATTTGGTGGCCTTCTATGATGGGGCTACAGAACTGATGGACAGGGGTAGAGCAGTTGATGTCATCTACCTGGACTTGTGTAAAGCGTTCGACACTGTCCCACACGACATCCTTGTCTCTAAATTGGAGAGACATCAATTTGATGGATGGACCACTGGGTGGATAAAGAACTGGCTGGATGGCTGCACACAAAGAGTTGTGGTCAATGGCTCAATGTCCGGCTGGAGACCAGTAACGAGTGGTGTCCCTCAGGGATGGGTGTTGGGACCGGTCTTGTTTAACATCTTTGTTGCTGACATGGACAGTGGGATTGAGTGTGCCCTAAGCAAGTTTGCTGATGACACCAAGCTGTGTGGTTCGGTTGATACCCTGGAGGGAAGGAATGCCATCCAGAGGGACCTTGACACGCTTGTGAGGTGGGCTGATGCCAACCTCATGAAGTTTAACCATGCCAAGTGCAAGGTCCTACACCTGGGTCGGAGCAATCCCAGGCACAGCTACAGGTTGGGCAAAGAATTGATTCAGAGCAGCCCTGCGGAGAAGGACTTGGGGGTGCTGGTCGATGAGAAAATGAACATGAGCCGGCTTCAGTGTGCACTTGCAGCCCAGAAAGCCAACTGTACCCTGGGCTGCATCAAAAGGAGCGTGACCAGCAGGTCGAAGGAGGTGATCCTGCCCCTCTACTCTGCTCTCCTGAGACCTCACCTGGAGTATTGTGTGCAGTTCTGGTGTCCTCAACATAAAAAGGACATGGAACTGTTGGAACAAGTCCAGAGGAGGCCATGAGGATGATCAGGGACTGGAGCACCTCCTGCATGAAGATAGGATGAGGAAGTTGGGGCTGTTCAGCCTGGAGAAGAGAAGGCTGCGTGGAAACCTCATAGCAGCCTTCCAGTGTCTGAAGGGGGCCTATAGGGATGCTGGAGAGGGATTCTTCATTAGGGACTGTAGTGATAGGACAAGGGGTAAGGGGTTAACTTAAACGGGAAGGTTAGATTGGATATACAGAAGAAGTTCTTTACTGTAAGGGTGGTGAGGCACTGGAATGGGTTGCCCAGGGAGCTTGTGAATGCTCCATCCCAGGCTGGACAGAGCCTTGGGTGCCATGGTTTAGTGTGAGGTGTCCCTGCCCATGGCAGGGGGGCTGGAACTGGATGATCTTAAGGTCCTTTCCAACCCTAACTATTCTGTGATTCTGTGAAATACGGACTCACTCCTCTAAACAAGATAACAAGGTTTTATTGAGGGACAAAGTCAGTAAAGCAAAAGCAACAGCTCTGGGCGCATGACCGTAGCCAGAGGCGCAAGTGATTAGCGTTTGTTACAGGTTTATATACTTTCACTATTACATTAGTTACATGCATATTCATAATTCCCCCATATAGGCAGGGAATATTATAACTAACTCACAGAACTTATTATCATAAGTCCCCTCCTCTTGGCATCTGAGCACTGCTCTCCAGTGATTGTGGGCAGGGGTCTTGAGGATGAAGTAAGCAGTCTTCCTCTAGTGAGTAGGGGTCTTCAAGGTGAAGTAAGCCGTCTTCCTCACAGTGTACTTTTCACCTTGGGCACAGCTGGACCCCCAGCAACCACACAACCAGCTGTATCTGTAATTCTTCTGATAACTAGCAATGATTTAAAACAGTGTGACCTTCCTGCAAAATTTACTGCAGGATGGGCACACAAGGAGTATCCCAAGCTAGCAGATGTTTGGGAGGCTCTGTCTCTAAACTAACTGATAAGTAGAAGGCTGGTGTGAAATAACTCATTCATGTAAATCCTGTTATCTCACCACAGACTTACAACACAAACCTTGTTCTTTAAAACTAAAGGTACCTTAGAAGACCAGTGTGAAACAATTAACTCATGTTTAGTGGGGCCACTACATTCCACGGACTTACAACATAAGCATTGTTCTCTTTCTAGAGCCTAAATTAAGCTAAAAAGTGCTTTAACTTTTATGTTTTTCAGGCACTAGCTTTTCTTATATCAAGCCCCCCCCCCCCCCCCTTTTTTTTACCTTTACAAATTCTTTTGCTATGTGACTCGGTTTTGCTCAAGAGTTCCGGCCCTTTTTAACTTGTTGTCTAATCTTGTGTCTTTAGCGAGCTTTGTTTCTGTTACTGTAAACTGGTACAGTTATATCCACATAACGACACCTATGATTAGCGGAAGCCAATACATTTACGTGTTTATCAGAGTCCTGTGATTCTATGGAGCGTTCTGGGGCAACGACTGGGGTGTCACCGTGGACTCCCAGCCCCTGGCGCTGCGGGGCACACGCTGAGCGGAGTGAAGCGAAACCCGGGCTGGTCGCTGCCAGACGCTTTGCATGTGAGCGCAGTTTTCAACCGCCGAGGGTTGCTCCGTTGTTGCATCAGCGCCGTGCCAACGCCCTTGCCCGTGTCCCTGCGCTCGGGTGCAGCGGTTCGGGTTCCTCGCCCGCCATCTCCCTCCCCGGGTCGCTCCCGGGGGCCGTGGCACTGCGCTCAGCCCCTGGCGCCTGCGGGCCGCCGTCGGAGCGGGCGGAAGCCGGGGGGGCGGGGTGGGGCGGGTACTGCCGTGGGGGGTCGGTGAGCGGGGCCGGCCCGAGCGGGGCCTGGGCTTGGCGTGGGGGAAGCGGGAGCGGGTCGCGGCCTTTCCCACCTTACCTCCCCTCCCCTCCCGCCGCTCTGCCTCGGGCCCCGCCGCCGCTGTGGGGGCCGCTGCTCCCCTGGGTTTGAAGGTGAACTCTGCTGACGCTGCCGGGCCTAACCCCGACCCGTTCGCAGCCCTTGCTCCCGGCCGCCGCCTCCCAGAGCGCAGCGTCCCGTTGGCGTGCAGAGGGCGGGTTGTGCCCTGCTACCTAGAGGGTACACGGGCAGAGCGGACGCTCGCCACCGTCCCGATGCGGTTCTTGGCGACCCCACAGCCTGAGTCAGGCCCCCCCCTCCCGGCTCGGCAGGACGTGCGCCGGGTGCCAAATTGTAGTTGACGTATTTGTGTACTTCGCAATGAGTAAGTATAGCAGGCCTGGGTATTTATTCAGAGCCCTTTCTCTCACCGAAACTTAAAATGCAGCCCCTTGATTCCAGGGGCTAAGATTAAGGTATTTCTTCTTGGGGTTTCCTTGGTTGGGCCCAGGCTCTGCTGGGGGAGATGAAGTCGGAGAGCTGCCTGCTGGGTCTTGTTAGCTCACCCAAAACCTAATCTAAGTTAGAATGGGAACAGGCTGGTGGGTATCTGCAGAAAAAGAGCAGCCAGTTGTGTGGGGAAGAGTCCTTGGTGCACAGTCTGACTTTTGCTGGCGGTGTGCAGTGGAGAGCCTGCACTACCCTCTGTGACAAGCACCATTAAATTAAAGCAGTTGTGTTCTGCCATAGCCACCTGATGAGATCAGTGAGGGCACCATCTAGGCCTTAAGACTTAATTTGTATTTGTGAATATATCTAACTTGAAGACAGAGCCTGGCCTATTTTACAGTAAAGGTTATGTGATGGGATGGCAGCAAGGATTGCAGATTACACTTGGTGTGTCACTTCTCATCCAGGCATGTATTCACTTCCATACTTTGTTTAAGCCTCCGCAAATTATTTTGGAATCCAAGATCCCACCTTTTCTATTTTTGATGGAAGCAAAAGGAGGTGCTCCTTTAAATGAAAAGGTGATGTTTTGCATAGCTAGGAAGAGGGTTTCCTTGTAGGCAAAAAGATGTAATGGGGCAGTGAAACTTGTCTGGAAAGGCACTGAGGCCAGGGAGTAGTCCTGGACAGTCTTGTCTGTCCTCCATCAAATGTGTGTTCAGTGTCAGCAGTTTCCCCGAGACACGTAAACATGGTGGAGGTGATCTCATCTGTGGAATTGTAACTGGGACAGGCAGTGCTTGCTCACTTTAAACAACGCCGGCCTGTAAAACATTGCTCTGTTCTCTCATGAGCTGTGTGTTAAGCCTGAAATCCTGACTCAGAGCTTCAAAAGTCGTGAATGCAGAGGTACTTGAGGGTGGAGGAGGGCAAGAAGTGGACGAGGAAAGATTACCATAAGCCTGTCTCCTGTAGATCTTTTCTCCCTGCCTGCGATCCACGGAGTGGGTGGGAAACTGTGCTTGCTGCCTGACCAGCACCAGTGAGCGAGTCTCCCTCCTGGACTGGTGCAGTTACTGTACAGGCTGCCGGGTTGAACTGTTCTTGTGATTTGGTGATTGAGTCAAACTTCCAAATTTATCATCCCTGTTACATTGGTTTCTGTTTTCCTGACGGTTGTAGGTATATTTTGTGGTATGAATAATCTCTTACAGTATTTCTCTTGTTCTAGATGCCATTTAGGTCAATGTCATGGACATTTATTTCCATTAAAAACACCTTCAAAAATAAAAGTTCTTTAAAAAAAACCAAAAAAGCCCCCACAAAACAAAAAACCCACAAAATGCCAAACCTCCCAACTTTAAAAAACGGGCTTTGTATTGTAAAGCTGTTGTCAGCATCTTTTAGTATCTGATGTGATAATTACCAAATTAGAGCTCCCAAATAGTATTGCAAAACCACTGGAAGTAGAATTTGTGGAAGTGGATCAACACTGATATTTGGACTCAAACACCTGGAAGCGAACCCAGATGTGAAGCCAACTATAAACCTGTTGGATCTGCTGATCTGTTTGACCAACATGCAGTGCATTTACTGTGGTGATTGCAAATCTGAAT